CACACGTTGGATATTATTTCACTGGAAGAAAAGATACATTTATTGGATTCAACTAAAATTATTTCCAATTTTAGTCAATTAAAATAGAAAATATAGTCGGGTAGTGGAAGGAATAATTTGAGGAGCTCCTCAATACCCTCAGGGATTAATAAAGTATTATTGTTTGATTGTTATAGATTGAAGTCCCACCGGCATTCATTCCGAGTAGGAACCAGAGCTGGGAGATCTGAGAATGGACTGTCCAATCTCTGGGGCAGAAGTCGCTGAGGTAGTCAAACAACTATACGGAGCCCCTGGGGTGGATGAGATCCGACCATGGGTATCTCAGAGCTTTAGATGTTGTAGTACTGTCTTGGTTGTCATGTCTCAACATTGCATGGTCATCGGGGTCAGTTCCTGTGGAGCGGCAGACCGGGGCGATGGTCCCAATTTTTAAAAGGGGGACCAGAGGGTGTGTTTTAACTATAGGGGGATCATACTCCTCAGCCTCCCGGAAAAGGTCTACTCCAGGGTACTGGAGAGGAGGGTCCGGTCGATAGTTGAATCTCAGATAGAGGCGGAGCAATGTGGTTTTCTGAGCAGTGTGGTTTTCGTCCTGGCCATAGAACTGTGGACCAACTCTTTACCCTTGGTAGGGTGATGGAGGGGTCATAGGAGTTTATCCAACCAATCCACATGTATTTTGTGAAATTGGAGAAGACTTATGACCATGTACCCAGAGGCACTCTGTGGAGGGCACTCCTGGAGTATGGGGTGGATGGCCTTTTGCTAAGGGCCATTCAGTCCCTGCACCAGAGGAGTGTGAGTTTGGTCGGCGTAGCCGGCAGTAAGTCGGACCTGTTCCCAGTGAGGGTTGGACTCTACCAGGGCTGCCCTTTGTCACCATGTAGTGGCCGTAAAGGTCAGGAGGTCTTGGCCAGCTTTAACTGTTTAACTGTTGTGTATTTGCCAGCATGCCTCGTGGACATAACAGAACAGCATAAAAGCAACATCTGTTTGGGAATCACTGATAGCTACTTTCTTCAAGCTGCCTGAGAGAACTTGCTTTCTTCCTTCTGAACTGGCAGGTCCAGATGTTTTTAAATTGCTCGATCATAGTAGTTAAATGTTTAGTGTTGGTTAGGCTAAAGAGACTGGCAAACAATTATACTATTAAGCTCTTGCTATTCATAAAGAACAGACCTGATCACTGGAGTGAAAGCTGGAGGTTGTTGAAATTTTGCCTTTTGGACTGCTGTAGATGCAATACCAACTTTGACCTGTGTGACGATAAGGAGTCGATAATTTTTACATACTGGGGCGTTAAAATCATTTAGTTTTTCTTTTTTTTTTTTTTTTTTTTTTTAACGTGTCCTGTCTGGCTGTGAAGCAAGCAGAATTGATGTCTGAATGCTGGTGACAAGCCTTACAGATTTATTCTCAGGTGGAGCATCAAAGCGTTTGCTTTTAATGTCACGCCTGATACTTAAAACTTTATTGTTATTGTTGTTGAATGCTTTGTAATTCTGACCAGACACGGAGACAGAGGTGAAAGAGAAAGGAAAAGCAAAGGTGGGGAGAGAGAGGGGGAGGGGGGGTTCCACAAAAATAAACAAAAATGAACAAGAGTCTGCTTCTAGACCTGCAGAAAAAAAAGACAAAAAAAACAAAACAAAGGGACACAAAAAAGGGACACAACAACAATACAACAAGATCTACCTATCACTGCGTCAACTTGATGAAAAGAATATATATATATATATATATATATATATATATATATATATATATATATATATAAAATCAACATTGCTTAACTGAAGAATCACGATAATAAATCACAACGCATTAAGTGCCCACCATAGTCTTAAGACCTGTGTTTAACATGCCCAAGCCCATACTTTTGAGAGCACCATGTGAGCACCTGTGTGTGTACACGCGCTTGTTTATTTAAGGTTTTTCTATAGGAGCGCCCAACAGAGAGTGTGAGGGACCACAGATCCGGCCCCAAAGATGAGCAGGAGACGGGGGGAGCTCCAAGTCCCAGAGATCCAGGCGCTGCCCCAGAACGCAGGAACCCCAAGGAGACTGCAACCAGGAAGGCCCCTGCCCCCCTCGAGAGGCACAGAGGATCGCCCCGGGGGGCCACAACCAACAGCCGGCAGAGTCCCTGGAGATATCAGCGGCAAGCCCACAGGCCCGCCCGCAGCCTCCCACCCCCCTAGCCGGCCGAGCCCGGGACCCAGCGACCCGGGACCCAGGGGCGACCACCCCCGCCGGGGACCCAGCAGAGCCCAGGGACCCAGACCCCACCAGGCAGCCACCGGGATCTAACAGGCAGATGCCAAAATCTTAAACCCCCAGACCCGGTTGCCACGAACACTCAGGCAGACCAAGGCACAAGCCCCCACACCAGGTGTGGCAGGGGGAGGGGGGACAGAGATCTATATCATCAAGAGAAGTTCCAGGAGAGGGGAGGACCCAAAGGCCCCACCTGACATATACAGTCATACACAAACACAGTCACACGCTCCCTCCCTCATGCTCACACATGCACATACAACCCAAGACTTACAAAAATGCACGCCGGACACCCACTCATGCTCCCCATACACACCCTATTCACTCTGGTCCCAGTACTGCTGCACATTGGGTACAACCATCACCGGTAACCAGAGTTTGACCCTTTCTGCTGGGGTGCTGATTAGCAGGCTCCCCCGCCCAACGCTGAGCACAGCAACCCACCACCCCAGACCCCAACCAGACGGCCAGATCTCCCTCCTAGCCTCCAGCCCCAGGAAGCCAAGCAACAACAGAGGTGGCTAAGACCCCTAGTCTCCCTCCGCCTGCTCCAATATAGTGTTGTGTGATCATGAGGTGTATTCCATGGCTGTGGTGAGTGGGCAGTGCGGGCATCATCCGGCATATGCCAGCTGATGCCACCGCACCACCCCACTTACACCCTCAGCCATCAGTGTCTAAGTGCGGTTTCAAATTGGAAGTGGGCACCGGCACTCGGGAGGAAGCTGAAATATCCCCCTGCCAAATGCCGTTGAATGTGCTCACTCCCAAGACCCTAAGTGTGTGTTTGTGTGGAATGTCGTCAGTGGAAGTGTATAAGGTGCAAATAAAATTGGGGGGCAGGTTTCCACAGGAATGCGGAAATGGGGTCCATACCCGCACTTCCTGACTTGCCTACCCCCCAAGGTCCTATGTGTATGTGTAGTTTTTCTTTTCTTATGAGGAAGGACTCCACACATACAGGTCCTTCTCAAATAATTTGCATATTGTGATAAAGTTCATTATTGTCTGTAATGTACTGATGAATGGGCTGCACAGAGTTGCAGTGGTTATAGCTGTTGCCTTGAAGCGAGAAGGTCCCGGGTTCGCTTCGCAGCCTGGGATGTTTCTGCATGGAGTTAGCATGTTCTCCCTGTGCATGCGTGGGTTCTCTCCGGGTACTCCGGCTTCCTCCCACAGTCCAAAAACATGACTGTTAGGTTAATTGGTCAGTCTAAATTGTCCTTAGGTGTGTGCGTGTGTGTGTGTGTGTGTGTGTGTGTGTGTGTGTGTGTGTTTGTCCTGTGTGTCTCTGTGTTGCCCTGCGATGGACTGGCTCTCTGTCCAGGGTGTACCCTGCCTGATTGCCCATTGACCGTGAAAAGGTTGAGAGACCCAACACAGGGCGACGGTGGCACAGGAGTTAAGGGCTCGCCCCGTAATCCAAGTAGTTCTGGCTGCAGAACCACAAAGGTGGAGCTGCACCAGAAGGTGGAGCTGCATCAGTCACCCCGCCCATTCAGTCAGAGTCAGTCCAATTCCTTCCAGTTGTTAGACTTGATAGCATTCTGGAACCAAAGAGGGTGTTATAGCTAGTATCATCTAAAATGCAAGATTGAGGACGGAGTTGAGAGGTTAACTGAACCTCTAAATGTGGATGGTTGTCGCTCAGAGAATGGATGACTGCCACCTGGAGAGTTTTATGTTCAATCCCAGATCCCCCATATCTCTACCCTTAGGACTCCATCAGAAATGATGGAGGTCACCTCAATAGAACCTTTCTGTCAACCAAAGTTTAAAAAAGTGGCTCCAGATCTTGTGAAATGGCCTGAGTGACTGGATCTGAAAGCATCCTCCAGCTATACGAAATGTGTACACAACTGTAATTAGCTCTGTTGACTAGTGGTCAGGTCACCCATGACTCACCTTAATTTACCTGGGCTAAAAAGACCCTAACAGCTGGAAAATTTGCAAAGAGTCTCGGATTCTGTGCAGCCTACAGTCCCAAAAAAGTAAATTATATGGTGGAATGGATGGATAAGTAATTAAGGGTTTAGTTTTATGTGCGAGTGTGTTTGTGACGAAACTCTGTGTGTGACTGACAATGACAGTGAGTGGAACTGGAGGGGGGTCATTCTTCTGTTAATTACTAAGTTAATGACACATTATGCTCCAGTGGACAAGCAATATGGCTGGCTGACACACACATGCACACAGACACTTGCAAACACGCACAGGGATAATAGCAAAGTCTGCTTTGGTGCTTACAGAATGTGGCAGTTTGCAACGCAAAGAGCTTGACAGTGAAACAACAGGCAAACAATGACACACACACACACACACACACACACACACACACGCGCAGCGACTGCAACCACTGACAGGGAACCTCATCAAACTGGCTTTAATGAAGTCACTTCGCCTAAATTGAGGAGAGCAAGAAAGTGGCGATGAGGAGGAGGGGAGGAAAGGAGGACAAGGTCGCTTGGATTGATAACGCTCATTAGCCTAATAAGGTACTTTAATGAAGCTGGCCCTTCTACAATAGAGTGCCACAAAGTCTAAAACCCACACACTCTGCAACGCAAACATCAGGCTTTTTTTATACATTCAGCACAAACAATACTATTCCCACCTCCATCTCCTCTGTAAGATTTTCTTGCACACAGCTCCATGCACCCTTTATGATAAAATAGAATAATCACTACATTCACACATCCAACTGTAAGGATAACACTGACCTCTCCATCTGAAGACTGCAATATGAGGTCTTTTCTACAGGAAGCTGTGAAGTCTCCCACTCCGGCACTGATCTCCACCCCTCTGGGAGCCTCCAGGGTCAAGGTTCGAGTTGGGGACTCCAGCCTGGAGAACCATGAAAAATATTCTTGTCATGCTAGTGAGAGTGGAAACAGCAACAGCATAGGCTGGTACAAAAGTACATCAGAGACAGTACTTTTAGTTGTTTTGTTAGTGGACTTATTTAGTCAGAATGACAAAAAATTGATCATCATTAATTTCAAATTCAGTTAATGTGTTTTGGTTTATTTTTGATTCACTGCAAAGTAAACTTGGGTTGGGAGTTATTTTAGGAAGCAGGGTAATTTATGAGCTTTCTCTTGCAGGGTGGCGATTTGTCAAGACCATGGCAGTTTTTCTGCAATATTGATTCATCTGCTCTGCAGGTGTAGACATGGAGGTATATCTTAGTCGTTGTTTTAAAAGGAAAATCAACAGCCCTTTCTTTGCTTTTGTGAGAGTTTGGTTGCAGGTGGATAATTTGATGAACTGTTCCATTGAATTGTGTCGACATGACCGAAAACTGAGGTGTAATAAGAAATCTTTGTGTTTCTAAAATATTGATATTTCTAATGTTTCATCCATCTGTTCAAAACTTTGTGTCAATGGTTTTTAGCTGAAGATTAAATAACACAGAACTAAATTTTATTCCAAGAAACCCCAACATTTAAAACAAAAGAATATTAAGAAATTCTAATAGCCCTGATTGTGCTTTCAACCACCATTTGAAGGACAGTACCTACTGCACTCCATCCCATGCTGTGTGATAGACGGATAATGGTTTTGTCCGGGGGGACACATCCATTTAGAGTTTGAGACATTTTACTTTGTAGCGATCCCTTCAATTTTCTTTAAAAAAACACCACACACTCCCATCCCTAAAAAGAAAGTCATTTGTACACTTTCAAGCTGCAAAGTGCTCTAGCTATGGTTGAAGCCGCTGCCCTTGAAGTGTGACGGGTCAGCAGCTCGGCCTGTGATTCAAAATGGAAAACAAAGTGAGCTGATTAAACATCCCGGTGGCGTTAGATAAAGCACGGCACGACATTCAAGGACGTGATAGAAAATGAAATTAAATAAAGAGCATGTTTCTGCAAAGCTGACAGAGTTACAGCCTATGAAGTGGGAAGACATTAAACAGAACAATAATATCAAATAACAGAGAACATGAGGGCACTTTAACAGCAAAAAAAACCTAGTGGCCGTGCACTGGGATGAGCACGTAGGCGGAGGAGAGGAGTGTGCTGTGCCATGGCTGGAGCGCATTAGTAATCATCACTCCTGCTTCTTTATATAGAGAAGGAGACGCGAGTCTCTACAATGTGAAAAAGAGTGCCTGAAACGCTGGAGTGAGTGTGTGTAAATTAACCTCTTCACCAATGCATGCTGGAAATAAAACTGTTGAGAAACAAACATTCTGGTGCGTTTTCGTGCGCGTTTGACCTCAATACACTACAAACATCTATAATATTTGTAAAAAAAGGAAGCTTTGTGGGTTTCACCTATTGCTGGTTATTTTTAGAACATAACTCCTGTGATAAACAAGGGACCACTGTGATTTACCAATAAAAAGATGTCTCTCTAAAATTGTCCACTTTTTATTCTAATCCTTACACAGAAACTGCTTTACATATACTGTAATTTGAATCTATTAACTCTAAATGCAGCTCCATTGGGCTTTAAACAGTAAGTTAAGTGACAGCAAAACTGAACTAAAGCAAATCACTAACATCAGGATAATGTCTCTTAATTAAAGAAAATGCAAGAGCAGGGTGGTTTACATGAGAATTAAGCTATTTCACCTCCTCATTCTACTATTTTCTCTTGGATAAATGGTCGTTTTTAGACTAAATCACACACAACGTGCTGTTTGTTCTGCATGAGCATGACTTGAAATGGTCAAAGGAAACTTTCCAGTTTTAATTCTTGAGGTCCCAAAAGCAATTTTGGCCCTGCTTTGCAAATTTCAACATGCATTCAATAAACAGTTTTTGTCGGTCCACATTAGCCTCTGTTAGATAAAGCAGCGTTTTCTTCTTGTCTGAAAGTAAAGGTGTTGTGAGGCGGATTAAAAGTGATGGAAGGTTTGCTTGTGTGCAGGGTTGAGCATCCAAGTGATATAATAAGTGTTTGAAGCAGACACTTCACACTAGCTCAGACTTATTGATCTGTTTTAAAAAAAAACAGTGTACGCCACTGTAGTCAGGGGTTGAGAAGACAAAACCAGAGACGGAAACAGGCAGACAAGCAAACAGATCACCAGACAATTAGATGGCGATATATGATGCAGCTTTGCATATGCGGAGGTGAAAAAGAGAGAGAGAAGTGAGCGGAGGCTGGATGTCTGGATGTGAGAAACTTCTGCTAGTTTGACAACTGAGGCAATTACAGTGAAGTCTCTGCTCAGAAACCGGCTCTGAAAGACAAATACACATGAGCCCTCTCTCTCTGTTTATTTTTACCTGTTTTAACTTACTTCTTTTGTCTTTCAAAAAACTGCCATCAATTATTTTCTCTCCCTCAGTTTTCCTTATTTGAAGCTGTCTACATACAGACACACAGAGTCTGCAACCTGTCAGAGGGAAGACTCACATCTCCTGCATGATGTCTGTTACTAAAAGCAGGTCTGCAGTGTTATCCACCTTGCATCATGCTATTTAAAGATGAAGTCCCATTAGTCATCACACACTGGTGAAATTACATCTCTGCATTTGACCCATCCCATGTAGGGGAGTGGTGAGCTGCAGCGGTGGCTAGGCTCTGGAACTATTTGGTGGTTTATCCTCCCAATCCAACCCCTTACAGCTGAGTGTCAAGCAGGGAGGCGTTGAGTCCCATTTTTAAAGTCTTTGGTATGACTCAACCAGGATTTGAACCCCAATCTCCCAGCCCTAGGGTGGACAGTCAACCACTAGGCCGCTTAGCTGGTAATTTGCCATGGTGAGAAAACACAGTGCAGCAACAGTTAGCTAATCTCATGCTGCTCTCTGATGAACAAACGTATCTTAAATGTTTACTTTTAAAACCATAGACAATTTTCTTAATATATTTAAATCATTTTCTTGAGCCAGTATGTGCAATTCCGGTCCTAGAGGGCTGGTATCCAGCACGTTTTAGTGGTGTCTCTGCTCCAAAACACTAGATTCTGTGGTTGAACCACATGTGCAGCAGCTCATCAGGCTTTGCAGAAGCCTGTCAATCACCTGCTGACTGAAATCAGGTGTGTTAAAACCAAAAGGTGCTGGATACCGTCATTCGAGGCCTGGAATTGAATACCCCTGCTTTACAGGATTGTTGAAAAGTCACTCAGACCCCGCCACCCTCTGTAGCCAGAATATCACACTTGCAACTTCAGAGAGCCAGTCTGTTGGACTTAGTAAAGTGGAGCTGACATGGCAGTGCTGGAGTCTGCTTCCAGCACATTTCCTGCATGTTTTAGATCATGAACCTAGCTGGTTTGTTTGATTTAGTGATGAATCACTCCTGTAGACCCTAATGAAGGCTGAGGAGACATTTCAGCTGTTAGATGAAGGTGTTAAAAAGACGAACGCACAGTGAGGAGACAAGTTTAAATTCCTTTAAGCGGAGTGCTGAGCTGAACTATTTAGAGCTAATTAATTTTAATTTTATTCAAGAAAACCAAAAGTGAATAGAATAGATGTAAAGACAGATATATGGGATTGAGCAAGTAGCAATATTTTTCTGATGAACTGTAATGGTTGTGGGATATTTTTGCTAACTTGCTGTATAAGCTAGGGAAATAATGGATGCATGCATTACGTAGAAGCTAGTTTCTGTTGTAACAATTTAACTTTCTCAGTCTGCTTACATGGATTTAGAATTGAGATAAGTATATTCTTGGGATTTCTAAAAAATTTTTAGCCTATTTTCATTAAAATGGATGGTACTTTTAAGTTGTATATACATTTTGCTCACTATACTACACTTTTTTTTTTACAGAATTGGCCAATTTCCTAACATATCTTTCTATTTCACAAACTTGAAAATTGAAATTTTAATTGCACACACGGTGAGGAACATTGTCGATACATCTAAGGTGACTGAGCTGCAGCATTTAATGTTGAAATCACAAAATTCCCAAACAACAGTCCTCAAAAAATATTGTGTTGGACTATTTAGGGATTGATCAAGCTGATCAGGTGTACCTAAATAATTTTTGTCACTAACATCTGACAGAGAATGTTTTGAATTATTTACCTTTAAAAACTCAGAAAAATTCTTCTAGGATTTACCTGGTACTTTTGAGAGCACGAATACAAAAGTTTAGAATAGAAGACAGGAGTATGACGCATCTTTGGTCAGTAAAAAGCAACAATGTATGAACACTTGCATTAAGGTTCAACACTTTTTATAAAATTCTCTAAAAATGACTGAACATTCCTAAATCTTGCCTTTGTAGGTTTTGTACTTTAACAAATTGATGCTGATCTTTACAGAAACCTGTTAGGACATTTGCCATGACAGAGTATGTGGTCCCTATAGGATGAGCCCTTCTAACATGACAGTGATTATTTCATATTGCACATGGAAAATGATTAAATTAAATCATATATAAAGTGAGTATTGCTTTCAAAGTCTGACAAGTGATGGATGTGAGCATCTTTTCAATTCTAAAAGTTAATTTATGAACCTCTCCATGGTGGAGGGGTTTGAGTGTCTCAATGATCCTAGGAGCTAAGTTGCCTGAGGCTTTATGCCTCTGGTAGGGTCCCCCATGGCAAACAGGTATTAGGTGAGGGATCAGACAAAGAGCAGCCCGAAGACCTCTTATGATGAATTATTTAAATGGAAATTGCGTTCTCTCGCCCAGACGTGGGTCACCGGTGCCCCCCTCTGGAGACAGGCCTAATGATGGGGCACGTTGGCGAGCGCCTGGTGGCCGGACTTTCACCCATGGAGCCCGGCCGGGCACAGCCCAAAGAGGAAACGTGGGTCCCCCTTCCCATGGGCTCACCACTCTTGGGAGGGGCCAAAGGGGTCAGGTGCAGTGTGTGACGGGTGGTAGTCGAGGGCGGGGACCGTGGCGGTCTGATCCTCGTCTACAG